ATCGTCTCGTTAATACCTTCGAAATAAGTCCAATATTGAATAGTTTTTTACTTAATTATATTATTATATATTATATATAATGTGAAAAAATATTTTTAATATTTACGATTTATACTTTTATAGTTATTTATTTATATATATACTATATATTTTGGGGTTAGGTTGTCCAAATTGCACTGTATAATATGTTCTTGGTATATACATGTATTAATTCAACTATAATCTGAGTTTCTGGACAAGAAAGAGGGTAAGCAGTTGAAATTTTATTCTAAAACCCATCTTTTTTTGTCTTTTCATGACTTATGATCTATCAAATTTGTAGTTTTCTTTATTGGTTTTGAGTGTTTATCTTAAAACTCAAGTTTATTGGTTCTTTGCTCTTGATGTAAATTGAATACATGTGTGGAGTCGTTTAGATATGTTGGATTTTAAATATATTGGATTTTAAACTGTCATACAATTTTTTTCATCGATAGTCTGTAATTGGAACCATAACTCTTATTTATTCAAATTGTATTAATATGTAAAGACCAAATGTAACATATATCATCGTTAAATCTTATCTTATAAAAGCAGTGGAACTTCAAAATCGTTAAAATTCATGGCTCCCGCCACATTGCGCGGGTACACAACTAGTTGTATATTTATGCACAAAGTCTTAAAAGTCTTAAAAACAACTCATAATGCATTAAGTACTACTATTTTATGCATTCACTTTTAAAATCTACAATTAAAATAACATATAGTACAAGTTACCAGTGCACATTATTACTTTTTATTTTCATGTTCCCAAGATCCTTTTAACATATTTCACTTATGTCTTCACCCTCTCATACTTCTATGTCTTTTCCCCATCCCCCAAAGTGAGATTCAAACTGATATTCAACATGAGTTATTAAAAGTTCTCTCATTCATCTCTCATTCAATTGCTTTAGAACTCTCAGTCTCGTTCTCGATCTCTTGATTCTTTACTCTTGGTGTAAATTGAACACATTTCTGGAGTCGTTTAAATATGTTGGATTTTAAACCGTCACACAATTTTTTTTTATCAATAGACTGTAATTGGAATCATAACTCTTATTTATTCAAATTGTATTAATATGTAAAGACCAAGTGTAACTTATATCATCGTTAAATGTTCTATAATAAAACCAATAAAACTTTAAAATCGTTAAAATTCACGGCTACCGTTATATTACACGGATACAAAACTAGTAATATAGTATAAACATGTATAAATACAAAAGTTAAACAAATATGATAATCAAGAATATAATTTATGGAAGGGGTGGGCTAAATGCACCCCTATGCATTGCTTAATGCATCCCTACCATGAATTTCTTCTTTACACACATCAACATCAATGTATATTTTTTACATTCTCAATGCTTGAAATGACTTGATTCTGACATAAAAAAAAGGTGACATTAGCACTCCCTCGAAGAAAATGAGAGAGAAATTAGACGTACGATTGGGTTTGGTTAATTTTAAGGAAACCGTACCGTTGACTGGTCAAATATGCTTAACCAACAAGATAACTTGCTCCATCTTGTTGTTTCCTTCAATCCTCCTACTATCATACTTTGTCAACAATAGTCCTTCTCTTATTTTCTTTATTTCATTTTGTATACTTATTCTATTTTTAATTTTTTTGATTAACCTGGTCCTGGATATTCAACCCGCTAAGCGAGCCGCCTAATCCTAGGGCGACCACCTGCTTTGCAGATAGCCTGGAATCATCACATTTGAACTTTCGTGGCCACAAGGGGATTTTTATTTCTTATTGGATTTGAACTTTGTATACTTATTTTAGTAACGAATTTAGATGGTTAATAAATTTACATATTTTTCTACGACTTTTTGAATTACGTATTTAACTTTTTCTATTAAACAGATCAAAATTTTAGAAAAATTACAGATAAAATATTGATGTAGAAAATTAAATCAGTTAATGGTTTCTATACTTACAGTAAAATCTAGATGGATGGCTAAATAGCCAATAAGTGTAAGTGTTGTAGTTGAAGACATGCATATTTCTTAGAGGCTATTTCAGGAGTATCAAAGATCAAGAATGGTTATTGACTATGCGTTGACATTTATGCCAACTACACGTTTTAGCAGTGAGTTTCAAATGTATTTATGTGGCATTTTCAGGGATAATCAAGAACTAATTAGGGAGCTTCTCAAGGGTGAAAATAAGGTAACTTCTTCTTTTAGAATCAAACTTGTAACTTTTTGTTTCTTGGGTGTTTGTATTTTGTGTGTTTAAAGGATTTGTAATTATTTTCCAAAGAGATTCAAGACTTCATAAAACACGTGGAAACACCGTTTGATGCGTGAAGAATTGAATGAATGAGAGGGCAGAGAAGCAGAGCTCAGCTCGTGAAGAGGCAAAGCAGAACTGAGAGCGAGAGCGCCACAGATCGTGACTCATGAAATCAAGAAGTTGAGGCTAAGGGGCAGGGTTGTGCTTTGATGCCCTTAGGCCTTTGCTACCTGGGTTCAAATCCCATTTTGTGTCGTTTTCCTTAGTTTTTAGCTTTTATTCAAATTTATTGTGTTTTTAGAAAAGTTCGCAGTAAAAGATTCGAACACAAGACCTTACATATGAAAAGCAAAGAACTAACCAATGAACCAATGATGATTTTGTCAAAATATCCATATCTTTGTTTTTTATAGTTAAATGGTGCCACTATTTGAAAAAAAGATTAGGTCAGTCTCTGGATATATAACCAATATAAGCATGGCGAAGGATCGTGTGAGAAGTGAGGTTATGGTGAAAGGCGTAAAAAGAAATTTGAACTCTTGATCACTTTTAATCTCATGTTCACCCATGAATTATGTTTTAGAAGTGAATTGATCTAGTATATCTCGATGCATCTCATTAGTGTTGACATTCATTTATGATTGATCTAATGGTGGAGATCTCTTCTTACGCTTCTCACCATAACTCTTTTTTTTTACCGGAACCCAACCCTATAAAACATATGTACGTATTTCTTTTAAAATTAATATATGCATAAAAGATGAAGAATCGTGTGAGAAGAAGAGTTAATATGAGAAGCGTAAGAAAAGTCTAGACCTTGATCACCTTTAATCTTAAACTCACCATGAACCGCGTTTGATGCGGAAATTGATCTGATGCATCTCAATCTCATCCTAATATTCATCTGAGGATGAAGATGTCTTCTTACGTTTCTCACCTTAACTCTTCTTCTCACTAGAAGTCAACCCCACATAAAAACGGTGTAGAATAAATCCATTAATAGAAAAGACTTGCATTAATATTAAAAGATAGAGGACTAGTTATGCCAATATGTGATAATACAAGGGCTATTTTATTTCTTCTCCCTCTAGGTCGACCTGTTAAAAAAATAAAAATATTAATAAAAAAATATCTCCTCTTACACACGTATACACGCTTGACAGTAGTCATTTCGGTGCTGCCACGTGTCCTCTACTCTCCAAACTAACTTCATTTCTAAGTTTAAATCCTCATAAATATCCCCAAAAATCTTGAAAACCTGCAACAAATACCATCAAATATGGCATCGAAAAGCTCTACAAACCCCAAAAATCTCTACCCACAAGTCGATCAATCGAACCCATATTCAAATTCCTCATTTTCATCATCAAATCCTTCAGCTCCATCGATGTACCCATCTCTCAAAACCAAAGATCTCGCCGAGAATCTCTTCCCGGACACCGGCGAACAACAACCGGCAGCTTTTGAATCGTCGGAGGAAGTCGTCGTCAAGATTCCAGACTCCATCGTTCATTTAATCGACAAGCAACAAAGCATAGAGTTAGCTTCCGGCGTGTTCGAAATAATCCGTCTCCGGCAAGGCGGCAACGTCGTCGCCGTCCTCGCTCGTATCGGAACCGAAATCCAATGGCCGTTGGCGAAAGACGAGGCCGCCGTGAAGCTAGACGGATCTCACTACTTTTTCAATCTCCGAGTACCTTCACAGCCCGGCGACGGCGTGGAGCCTGACGATCTTATAAACTACGGTTTAACGATCACCGGAAAAGGGTCGGAGGAATTGGATAGGGTTTTGGAGGAGTACAGTGCTTTTTCGGTGAAGGAAGTGGAGAGGGGTGTGGCGGTGGTGGTGGAAGGTGGTTCACCGGAGGCTAAAGCGGCGGCGTATTGGACAACATTGGCGCCAAACGTGGAGGATTATAGCGGGTCGGTTGCTAAGATGATTGCAGCCGGGTCGGGTCAGTTAATCAAAGGGATATTGTGGTGTGGAGATGTGACCGTCGACAGGTTGAAATGGGGGAATGAATTTTTGAAGAAGAGAATGAAATCAGGCCCCAAATCAGAAGTTAGTCCAGAAGCTTTGAAGAGGATGAAAAGGTATCAACTTTGACTTCAAAAGTCAACTCTAAAATCTCGTAATTTTTGATGAATTTGGTGACCATTTTGGGTCTTGTTTATGTTTTCATACTTGGTATTAGGGGCCTTCATGATTGGGTTGATCGGGTTGAAGACATTTGAACAACTAACCCAATGTTTTTTGGTTGGAAAAATCTTAACCCAAACCAAACCAAAGTTCAACCCAACCTGATCGAGTTGATACTTTGATATATTAAAATATTCTTCTAACCTTGAATATGTTATTTCTTTGTGCATAATTTTTGTTTCATCATTAACCATTTGATACAACTTATTTATATTTCTTTCATTCAGTTAGTTTTCTCAATTTACATATATATGTTCACAGTTACTGAATATATATACAAATGAGTTATATAAAGATATGAATAGATTGAAAATATGTGTATATGAAAAAACATACATGATAGTGTAATTGTCTAATCTATATATTAATAAAAATTCAACAATTATATTAAATCCAATAAATAAAAGGATATTTGGTTCATTTGGGTTCAAATAATAGTAACCCAGTATCAACCCAGTACCTACAGTTTGACAATTTTACAACTCGATTAGACATTGAGTTGCTTCAGGTTAGGTTATTTTCGCGTTGGGTTGGATTGGGTTGATCGGGTTGGTCGAGTTTTTGAGCACCCCTACTTGGTATGAAGTTTAAAGCAACTTAAAATCAAATCTTGGTCCTGAATCTTTAAGGAGAATGAGGAAGTGTTGACTTTGCCTTCAAAAGTCAAACATAAGATCTTTAAAAACTCATGAATTGGTGACCATTTTCGATCTTTTTTGTGTTTTTATACTTGCAACGAAGTTGAAATTGGTTGCATTATAAAGGGTTTTTGAGTTGTAAAGAAGTCTAAAATCTAAAGTCTTGATCGTATGTTTCTCAGGGTGAAGAAATTGACCAAGATGTCGGAGAACGTAGCAACAGGGCTGCTTTCCGGAGTGGTGAAGGTGTCGGGGTTCTTCACGAGCTCGATTGTGAACTCGAAACCAGGAAAGAAGTTCTTCAACCTTCTTCCTGGGGAAATCGTACTTGCTTCTTTAGACGGATTCAGTACGTGCTCGGTTCTTGAATCTTGTCGTCCATTTCGTATTTGAATTGTTGTTAAAACGTTCAAATTCCGATCCCGGGGTTTGAGACAATGGTGTTGGAGGCCCACATTAGCTAGACATGACCCGTATATACGTAGGAACCTCGCATCTCTCGTTTTTTAATGATTGTTTGTGATTTGGTTGTGTTGTTGACAGATAAGGTATGTGATGCGGTTGAAGTAGCCGGAAGGAGTGTTATGTCGACCACATCGACCGTCACGACCGATCTCGTTTCACATAAGTAAGTATTTCATGTGAGGACCGTTTTGGACAACTATAGGCTAACTTATGTTTCTGAGCTTAGATCCATAGCATTTTACATTGTCATTTAGCTTATCAACGGATTTTACCAAACATGACTAGTTAATAAGTCAACAGCTAACATATCAACTGGTTTTTACTAAACATGACTAGTTTATCAAATATAGCGTAGACCGCTGGACGTCCTTTTTCGGGACCAATGGGATCGTTAATGGTTTGCTAATTGTTGATGATTGCAGGCATGGTGAAGATGCGGCAAAGGTGACTAGCGAAGGAATGGGTGCTGCAGGGCATGCGATAGGGACGGCTTGGGCGGTGTTCAAGATACGAAAGGCGTTGAACCCGAAAAGTGTCGTTAAGCCGACGACTCTTGTGAAAGCAGCTGCTTCTCGATCGGGGTCGTCGAAATCGGAAAACGTTAAGTAGCTGTGATCGTTGGAGATTTTTCGATATGTTGCATATGTAATATTGTGTCTTTTGTGCTTGGATGTTGTTTGCATTAAAAGGAAGGGTATTATATGGCAAAGTGATTTGTAAGTTGTAACGATGACCACGGACTAAACGATTCAAGAATTAAATCGTTGGATTTTCTTCACAGTATTCCCATTTTTTGGTTTATTTGTATATTTATATTTATTAAATATTTTTATTTTGGGGGTAAAATATTTAAGGGGGTGTTTTGTTTTTTGACTTATTTTAGTTTTACACTGGTGATAAGCTAAATGCTAGTGTTTGAATGAGGAAAAATAAAACTGTTTATACCGGTACCAAATCGGTAATAAGCAATTTTTGATGAGTTAATTCATTCTAAGTTCCTGACTTATGAAAAACTGTTTATTATCAGTTTATCATTTTAACTTTGTTTTATTAATGTTTGTTAATTATTAATCTTATTGATATAAATTTTTGTCAATAATATGGAAGACTGTCATTTTTTATCATTTTACATATATAAGCAAAATTTGTCAAACACTAATAAAAACAACTCATCAGCTTATTGCTTTTTGGTACCGCTATAAGTTAATCCAAACATTTTTTACAAAACTCCGTTTTGATACCACATAAGTTAATAAGCACTTTTACTAAAAAGCATAAGTTGTTTTAAATAAGCAATCTCAAACACCCAATAAATAATTACCCTGGTCGTTTTTCCAACAATCACATGCATTGTATTTAATCAGACGTTTTTTATAACGCAGTAAATATATAACCATTAGGAATAAAAGAGAAGAATAAAACCATATGATCAACATATATAACCTAAACCAAACGAACTCGGTAAGTTACAGTAGGAGAGATAAGACGGTATACAAATCTAGCCTCGACCAGTATACCAAATCTCTATTATTTATGAACCATTTATCAAATGTTTATAAGTGTTTTACTCAGATGTTACTTACTTGATCGGGTGAATATGGCAAGAACTAAAAATCTTACCTGATAAGAAGTATAGGAAGAACCGAGAATCTTATCTCGTAAGCGAAGGAGAAGACTCTTACCCAATAGGCACTTACCAGGTAAAAATTGTTTGCCAACAATCCATTTTGATGATTGAGAATATTACCTAATAAGGCAAGGGAGGGTGATGACTCTTATCGATAAGCAGAGGCCTCTTATTTACAATCACATACATAAAGGTTGTTTTTTGTTTTCTTGTTTCATTCATGGATGCATATCAATCTATGAGGCCAAGTAGGATTGGACTACAAATGTGTAAGGTTCCATAGTTGTGGAAATGCAAGTCAACTTGCCTTGATTTTTCGGACTTCTATGTGTTTCTTACTTCATCCTTTTCCGGGATTCGTAGATGTAACCAACAATCACGACAGCAGTAGCAACGACAACCCCAAAAGCGCTTTGTGCCAGTACGACGCTATCCAGCTTACAGGAAGATGAACGAGGAGTGAATCCTAATTCAGAAAGTTTCTTGTGTGATACTGCATAATCTGCAAAAAATGCATCCTCATCCTACAAAAAGTTGGTCCCAATGATTTAGTGCACACATAAGAAAAGCATAAAATCAGTGCAACATATTAACCAAAACGAAACCAGTATATCTCAACCAAATGCAGGGTATGACGGTAAAATGTACTCAAACCTGACCTCTACCCCAAAGAGTATAACGGCTATTGTCATGAAGACACCCCCTCCCCTGCGTCCCATTTGTGAAGAGTTGTACCATGAAAGTCGTTCAACTCTACACGTAGTTCACAACAATATTTGGACTTATAGTCAAATGAAGAACCTTAAGAAAAGGAAACGTGATATCACGTAACATAAACTGTTTACAATTTCATAGGACCGAGGTACTAATAAATCAGTAACAGGACAGGACCTAGTATGAGTTTCTCTCAACGAATTGGGTAGTTGAAACCAAATCAAACGAGTTATATATCCCACTCAAAGGTGGTGTCAGGGTTGGGATGTATGTACACTTGTCCTTCACCCCCAAAAATAGATCGACCTTTTGTCTTCTACCACGAATAGCAGATTGGCTATTTCTGTTAAGACCTCCCCCCCCCACCAAAAAAAAAAAAAAAACTTGCAACAAGTGTGTGTGAAAAAGTAATGACTTGATAGTTTCAGAAAGCTTGCCAAAAAGTTTTGGAGCATTTTAAAGAAATCAAAAGTGAAAATCTTGAGACCAGAATGGAGACATGACTATTTCATGAAGGAAAAAAACTAAGGGTCCGTTTACCAAATGCTTACTTGGGTAAGCGTTTACCAAGTTACATTACCTTACCGGATGAATATGGTAAGGACCAAAAATCTTACCCAGTAAGAGCGAGGCAAGGACCGAGAATCTTATCCGGTAAGTGAGGGCAATGACTCTTACCAGGTAAATTGTTGCATAGAAACCCATTTTTGTTTACTAAAATCTTACCTGGTAAGTAAATAATATTACTGAATTTTACCGGTAAATGTTTACGGGGTAAGTGTTTGGTAACGGCCCCTAAGTCTAGAATGAAAGATACGACAAATTGCACATTTCTACTGCATAATATACTTGTACTGTACAATTTTGTTCTGATAGAGAATCTAAATCTTGTTGGGTCTACTAGCAGGACTCTTTAGATGGACATCAGATTCAACCTCTCGGACAACTATAATACCTAGGAATATTCCAATTTTCATGGGGTAATACATGAGCAGCAAGATAAGATTTAATATAATTTCCAAGGGCATATTGAGTAATTGTTAAAAAAGCATCTGCCTGTTACTAACAGCCCTTCTTCTGCATCATGGTCTTGTATTGTACAATCATCTGTTCGAGATAGAATCTAGATCATAGAATGTTTTAGATGGCTATGACAGGAAAAGCCTCCGCAAGGTTGTTCCTATCATTTCATAGTTCTTGGAGGATATGGATCAGGTTCATTTTTTGGCGAGGATATCGAATAAGTTAAGGATTGGTATTTAAGGCCTAAAGCCATGAAAAACATGCTGAAACCTGCAATTGAACAATGAGCACAAGAATTCTACAAATGTAGGCCCAACCTGAAGCTCAGCATGCAAAGTGCTCCTTGGAGCAACTAATCCCTGGGTATGAAAAATCCTCCTTAGAGAAGGAAGTTGTTCCATGTGACCCTTTGTGGTAGAATAAGAGACACAACACGTGGTCTCAACCTATAAATTAGAGGTTAATACGGTCGAAGGAGGACTTTTAGACCACTTCACTTACACACACTCTCTCTCTCTCTCTGTCTCTCTGGCACTTGCCCTCTTGCCATAAGAGGCACAAGATCTAGCATCATCAATCTTGATCAAACATATTATTTGGTTCCTGTATTTGCACGTTAGTTGCTAAGGATAGGTTAGTACTTTCACCCTGATGAGGGGAGCATGGAGGAAGCAATGCAACAAATTTGCTTTGTAAAGCAACTGTTGTACAAATAGTAAGTCAGTTATTAACGATAAAGATTTAATCCCACACCCAGAAGTAAAAAAGACTCACTTCCAGATTATAAACTAAATCTAGGAAGCAAGGATGCTGCTATCCCTTGCCACGTCTTTGTATTGGGTTGTTGGGCTGCAATTTTTCAGAGGTGCTACATGTGGCTACAAGATGCAGCTTTGACTACATTCAATGAAACCGTCCACGGACTGGGGACATGATTTTGATACTACAATTTTATAAAAGAAATTTGCATACATGATAATTCACAACTTATATACATGTGTGTGAGAGAGAGAGAGAGATAGAGGAAGAGGCAATAAAGAGGTCAAGGCGGAACATACATTGATAGTTTACAAAGCTAAGAACACACCAAGTAAAAGTACAAAGACCACAAAGATCTTAAACTAATATTTTTACATGCATACATCTTGAAAATATTATATATTACTGCAGTGAAACCATTGACGTTAATTACTCTTGTTTTCCACACATATACTGTTTTGGTGATTTTAGTGAATTAGCATACCGTTTTTGTGTAATTCAATTCACGGGAGAATGAAGGGTCTGATAGTTAAGCTAAAAGCCTAAAATATGAGTCAAGAGGTGCGGAGTGCACAATTGGATAAGCTAGAAAGACCAGGGATCGCCAGATGTCGGCATAGGTCCCCCCCCGGGGGGGGGGGGGGGGTCAAGGAGGCCGAGCCCTCTTGCAGGGTCCTAAGGGCAGCATGCTGAAACCTAGACGAAGTTGAAGTGAGTTGACACTAATATTTTTTAGTATGAGGTGGATTTCAGTGGTTATTTATCAGTGTTTCAGTGACTAGCAAATGTTCTTTCAATGGCCCTGATGAGGGTCAACTTGTGCCATTAGTGGCATGGGTCAGTGGATCCACTGATGTTGATCAATGTTACCCACTGATGGGTTCACCCACTGATGCAACTTGTTCATAACTGCTATGGAACGACTTGTAACCTCTCGTGACCGCTCAATAATTGCTCATAAATTCTGGTAATCATTTACCATTAACGAGGCATTCACTAACGGTTTTAATGTATGAACCTTTACGATTTTCTCTAGGTTTATAGTTTTCGATTTCTCCGGAAATTGAGTGTGATTTGAGATTATCCTCGTGCAAATTCCTGTATCCCAGCCAGAAAGGATCAAAATATTGCTTATGGAAACTGATCTTACTCGATCTCAGATTTTATCCAAGTTCTTTTGTTGTAATTTCTCACACTCTACATTGATCTCAAACTAGAGTTTTACACTTTATTTTCAAATATTAATGTATGAAGTATGAAGGTCTTTACTCTTTTTATGGTTTTAGAGTTGCATAGACACATGTTTCCTTGCAACATAAGTGTAACTGGTAGGTGCCCCCAATGTTTTGAATCATTAGGAATTTAGGACACAACATATTTATATTCTAAACTAAGTCAACCAAAACACTTGATAGAAGAAATTTAAACTTCCCTGTGGTTTCTCAGTCAACTAATTGCATAGATACCATATCTTATCTATCTTGTCTATCCTATGTATGAGAGGCAGCATTTAGTAGAACTTGTTGGAGATGATATTGAATGCTACATATAATACCACCGTCTCTAAATAGTACTTTCCTACTTAGCATTAGTAAATGTGTTTGACTATTAGTAATAGAATTTCAATACTTCACACGTATTCACTAGGTAGTTTGGTTTAATAGAATTTCTATAGTTATTTAGTTAAATACAAAATTAGTAATATCATTTGCAGGATAAGCTCAGAATTAAAGATGTAAGCCTACATAGGAACATATCCCTAGTCGAAAATAATATCATTAAATTACTTGTAAGAAATGTGAGACGCTTTTGTTATTTAAAAACTACTTCTAAAGAAATATATGCCGATAAAATTTAGAACTCAACAAATACATATGGTAGGCTATATGACCATATAGAAAATATTCATATGATTGATACAAGTGGCACGATAATTGGTGATATAGCTCCATACCTTGGCATACAGGTCAACATAATGGCGGAACCCAGGATCTTCCAGCAATGCTACGTCTGTTGGAAGCTTTAAAAGCCCCTCCGACTCCCCTTTCAGCAGCTCCCTGGCTCCACAAAATTGGTGCTAAATTAAATAACAGGACTCAAAATCTATATTTACTTGTTCCAAAAGAAAAAGGGAAATGAGTCACAAGTAGGTTTGTGCATTGACTGAGAACCAGACCGAGTGAAACTAAAATTTGAAAAGGCAGAACCAAGGAAATGGACCATGAGATTCCACTCCAGTGACTGTAAAAAGGATAAATGAATCTATAAAGCATTTCCCATAAATTTTTTATTTCATATTTCTTGAAGTTTTTCATAGAATATCCTATATGAACAACCTGTGGTGTATGAACCTCGTATGTTCCACCCAGAGGTGGGGTTTTGGAGGAGTAAGATGTAGGCAGACCTGACATGCGATCAAAATAGTAGAGTGGTTGTTTCTGCGAAGAGCCGAAGACCCGACTTGTGAAAAGTGTGTGAAAGCGAGAAATGCAGATATGCAAAAATATTAACAACAATATGAATTACCTGTGGTGTATATGTTTCCTAAAGAATTACTATAAAAAATACACACATTTTTTAAATACCGTGTGTGGTTAAAGGTTGAGAAACATAGAATTTGTTTAGTTCTGGTCTTAGATAGTTGCGACTCTAAAGAATGTACATGATTCTCGATCGGTTCATGTTGATTTAGATGAGTCTGCACAAACCAAATTATCCACACCCCTAGTTTATAAGGTAAGAATTTTCAGCAAGTCTTACACAAAGTATGAATTATCAAATTTCAGTGGCTCCCTAGTCCAAGGGCCATCAAAGCCTGATCTATCTGCATGTGCTTTTCCCTGTAGCATATTAATGGTGACAATAAGAAGCAACAAGTGATTAACATGGCTGGCAGTGATGCCTAGATGTTTCATACATTGACTTGAAAAGCATGTTAAGCTCCTTTAAGTAAAACAAAAACTTTTGAAGGTATTAATCAAACAAATAACATGCACTTTACCAAAGTGTGGCCCCCTGATAGAGCTACAATATCCTTGTCAGATAAGCCCATCCGGTAAAATATGTCCCTCAAATGTGGTACACCTGCAATCAGTGTAAGAATCTCATTAACAGAATAAAGCTGATGTCAAACGTTGGTATACATTTTATAGATAAAGAGTAAATGTGTGAAACTAACGCATTAACAATGACGTGAAGTTCCCAATTATGTATAACCATTCTTCCGACAACAAACAACAGCAAGGATTATTTGTTAATCAGCCTACCAAAGCCACGCATATTAAGTTTAGAAGCACGATATATGTTTCTATTGTCACCATCTAAATGTTGTTTCAACATCCTTGGAAGATTTAGATACCATTCACTTATACCATCTCTCCATTCTCTGTTTTTCATTTCTAGGCCCCACCTTCACCTTCTCTTTCAGGTCAAGTTTATGAGGCCTCCTTGCATCATATAAAATGGTCCCATTATAAATCTTAGATGACCTAAATAAATAGGACTTTAATCATCGACTGCAATTAGCAAAAACCTGTTTCGATGTGTAATCAGATAACCAGATTCAGGAGCAAACATGAATCCACTTACGACAGTAACTGGGGATGATATATCTAGCCAAATAGTTTTAACTTTTCCGACCAATCTCCTCTATCATCTAGAAGAAATTTTCCTTTAAGGCCACCTCCTCAATAGCAAAGTACACCTCCTAAAAAATGTGTGTTCTTGACATCCAATTCATGGAAGTGGCCAATGATGAATGGCAGCTAACGCTATACAAATACGAACACATAGCATCTTGGTCATTGGAGAGAAAGCTGCATGGTAGTCAAAGTCAACTCCATAGGTCTGAGAATGGCCCTTTGCAACTAACCAGGCTTTCAACCGGTGTAATGAATCACCGGGGTTAAGTTTGACTATGAACACCAATTTACAACTCACTACAAGTTTTCCACGATGAAGATGTGCGAACTTCCAAGTATTATTCTTTTTTTGTAACATTATAGGTACCAATGGTTGTTGTGGACTCTAAGGAGATGTGAGAGTATGCTACGTAATCATGGATGAGATATCGGCTCCAAGGTTGTGTGCCTCTTCCACAAGCACTATCCATCAAGCAGGATCCCGCAAAAGCTACAGCCTGTGTGCATGTAGGTGTATGTGTATGGACAGGAGCAATTATGCAAGCTCTCTAAAATGAAACTTTCTCTACTATCCCAGAAAATATGCTTTTGAAATTATAAAATTGAGACAATTTAGAAAATTAAAATATTATATTATATATCTATATATTAATTTAAAGAGCATGGCACATCACCAGTAGACTAAGGCTTAAGAAGCCATTGATAAATAACCTCAATGCTTTACATGAGATGAACAGTTATTTACAAAAGTAGGATAAAAACCTTTGTTAGCATTTGGGAGTCTGCCTTCCTTGGGGGAGATCCTTGAATCCTAAATGAAACATGGAATATTTAAAAGAGAAGAAAACTTTGGCAGAAAATATTAAAATAATTCCCATGATATTTCCATGACTAAGATATTTGCCAAGGATTATGTCTTTGTTAGACAGGAAATTGCTTGCAGATGGATTAGAGATAAGAACAAAACCCAGGAAAAAGTCTCAACTATTTGATGAAATCAGCATACCTTTCTACCAGGAACGAAGTCAACGGTAGGACCACCAGTAACCTCGACGGCAACAACACCTGCAAGCTGCCAATAGACCGCCTACGGGTAAGTACTGAGTTTAAGCTCCACATGAACCAAAACCATTTAGATGTGCTACTTACAAAAATTATTTGGGTAGAAATCAGTCAACAAAATTATTGGGCTGCCCATAGAGTGAATAAGATAGTAGACTCAATAAGATAACACTTAGATATAAGATTTATCTAACTGCCTAAATGCCATGCATTCTGCCCAGTAACAGTATTGCCATATAGCCATTAGATTCTAACGGACTTGCATATGCAAGCACTCAATAGGCTGCAAACATATGAGCACATTAATCATCCAAATGGAAAAGGGACACTTCCCTATTCTTGGACAACTTGAATTTGAACCTTTTCTTTTGCAAAATTCAAGTAATTTCATATGCCAAGTTGTAAGGATATGACAATTTAAGTGCAAGCCTCAGAAGTTAACATAGAAACAGCTGATTTTACATTTCACCTTGCTCAAAATCAGTATATTACCAACAACTATTTGGAATTTTATTTCACCTTGCTCGAAAGCAGCATATTACAAACAACTATTTGGGATTATATTTCACCTTTCTCAAAAAGTAGCATATTGCTTTAAATCTATAAATAAGAAAAAACAAATATCTTGGAAGACTATTGAAATCACCTGATATAGATCTGCATATGTAATCCTTGGATGCTTGGACTTTATTTCTTCTGCAATCAACAAGAAAACCACCCTGTTTAAGAAACTGAAATAATTTTTTTATATTTTATAAAGGAGAAGTTAATTGTAGAGAGAAGTATGCTTTCAGAAAATGTACAAATCGAACTCAGAGAAAAAAGGTCCTGTATCAAAACGTTCATCGAAATGAACCAAATTTCCTCATTTTCCAATCTAAGGCAAACAAGTTTGGCATACTAGACAATATATCAAGCAGACTTAACTACATGTCATAAAGATGGCCTAGGCAACACAAATAATCAAACCAACTGAAATAAATTCAGCACCTTGAAGCCTCACAGACTATAATTACTATTTTAAATCTCATTATCAGCCATCCTGAATCAAAAACTCGTGAGGCTTTCTATAGTAGCATCTATCTTTGATTCATTAATGGCTGCAAATTATAACAACGAAAAAAATCAAAAACCACAAACTTCTTCGGTTGTCTAACAGTTAAGGATTCTCCCTTTTTGACTCAGGAGTATGGACCATTGATTCAACTATTATTATTGAGACAAAGTGGAATCTGGCTGGGTATTGACGAGAAACACTTGGATTAACAGATCTTTTTATCTAAAAGAGCAATTATATAGCCCTCATCCCAGTAAATATGTTAGGTAATCAACCACAAATTTTCAACAACATAAACACGTTAAGGAATCACAACTCTAATGTAATAGTATAACTCAAATTCACAAAACAAGCAAGTCCTACCAGAAATTATGAAAGGAAAGTGAATATTTACCGCAAAAATCAATGGCAATTTTTAAACCGTTATTCGAGCCATGACTAAACTCTTCCTCGTTCCTGATCGAGCCATTTGGACCTCCAGTTTTCGTAGTCGCATCATAGGTTCCAGCATCATGCCATCTTCAAACAAACACCAATTTCAGTTCAATCATCAATAGATTCTATACATATGTGTGTAAACTAGACGAATCATACGCTAAACGAAGCATGATAGGGGCGCATTTTTTGCTGGAGATGAAAGCACGAAGCTCTCGACGAGCTGTCTCGATCTCTTTTAGGTATTCGGCGTCAACGACAGGCATCGTCATTCACACGGTACACGCAGTGAAGTTGAAACTGTGTGCTCGGACTGCCGGGGACGACGGAGATGAAACCAGAGTGATTGATTCTGGGGAGATGGTAAGAGACTATTGGTCTGTGCACAAAGAGTTTTTGTTGCGGTGTGAGCGAGTCGAGTCAAGGGGTTGGTAGTTGGTAAACACGATGATTGACTTGCTACGACGGCGATTGGTGGCAGATAAATTTCCGATCAACAGAATCACAGCCGTCTAAAATGGGTAATAATCCCCTGCACCAGTAAAAATGTAAAATGTGTTATCTATACTATATTATAAGGGGTTTTCTATCCCATCCCCTGCTATCTTTTTTATCCTAGATTTTTCATATCCCACTTACTTGAAACACTAAAATACATTAAAATAATTTTATTTTATTTTTCAATTTTAACCTTTGATATTTTTAGTTTTAACCCTTCAATTTTTTATATACTTTTTTATTATATCTTTTACGTTTTTTTTTAATTT